CCTAAGATAGGTATAGCACCTAAGCATGATAAACCTAACACAGGTGAGGGTGCCCTCTCCTGCCACAGCCACTTCTCAGCCTGTCCCCAAGTGCATCCCCTGGATAATGGGGTACCACTAAATCCAGAAAAGGTATGGAGGGGTGCTGTAAGCCTTAAAAGGTTAAGAATCACTGTTGTGGATTATAATCAAGAATGGGCAATAACATGCTCTGTGGCCAGCTTCATCAAGAATGCCTTATTCCAGGACTTGCCTCAAAATTAAATTCTACTACTACTAACATGTCTTAATGAGCAAGAACTTAGATGAAACTCAAAAGGTCAACCCCAGCACAAAAGAAAGTTCCAAGTACATGAAGGATTGATACCAATTACTTCAAGCAGTACTTGGGCAGGAGTGACCATGAGATGACTCAGTTTAGGATCCTAAAGAAAGGAAGGAGAGCAGCAGAGTATGGACCCTGGATTTCAGAAAAGCAGACTTCAATTCACTTGGAAATAATGGGCAGCATCCCCTGGGAGACCAGTCTGAGGGGGAGAGGAGTCCAGGAGAGCTGGCTGTACTTTAAAGAGATCTTACTGAGGCCACAGGAACAAACCATCCCCATGTGCAGGAAAACTAGCAAATGTAGCAAGCGACTAGCTTGGCTTAGCAGGGAACTCTTCAGTAAGTTTTAAACATAAAAAGGAAGCTTCTAAGAATTGGAAACTTGGACAAACAACTAGGGAGGAGTATGAGAGTATTGCTTGGGCATGCAGGGATGAAGACAGGAAGGCCAAAGCACAATTGGAGATGCAGCTAGCAAGGTATGTGAAGGGTAGCAAGAAGGGTTTCTACAAGTATGTCAGCAACAAGAGGATGACCAGGGAAAGTGTGGGTCCTTTGCTAAATTGGGGATGCAACCTAGTGACAGATGATGCAGAAAAGGCTGAAGTGCTCTATGCTTTTTTCACCTCAGTCTTCACAGGTGAGGTCAGCTCCCAAACAATTGCACCTGGCAGCACAGTTTGAAGAGATGAGCAGCCAACAGTGGCAAAAGAACAAGTTTGAGACTATTCAGAAAATCTGGTTGTGACTGTGTACAAGCCCATGGGGCCGACGGGATGCACCTGAGGGCGCTGGGGGAGTTGGCCAATGTGATTGCCGAGCCACTGGCTAAAATCTTTGAAAACTCATGGTGATTGGAAGAGTTCCTGGGTGATTGTAAAAGGGCAAATATAGTACCCATCATTAAGGAAGGGAAGAAGAAGGATCCAGGGAACTACAGACCAGTCAGCCTCACCTCAGTCCCTGGAAAAGTCATGGAGCAGGCCCTCAAGGAATCCATTTCTAAGCAATTGAAGGAAGAGGAGGTGATTGGGGACAGTCAGCATGGATTCACCAAGGGCAGCATGCTTAGTGAATTTGAAAACATGCTACTCCTTAAGAACTATGCTAGCCTGCGCACGTGTGTGCACACACACACACACAGCACATACAACAGTTTACAGCATACAATGCAATGGCAACACTTTTATCAGAACTGGTGACCTTTTAACTTTAACTAATTTTTTTCAAGCCTTCCCTTTGCAGGTTTATTTCTGTCTAGTAGCATCTTTCTTAGCAACTCAGTTGCACTAGTTCCTATTTTCAGTCTCTTACACTTGTCCGTTTTCAAGGCAAAAATTCTGCTTGAAGTCGTATTTTTTTTCTAAATGCATCTATTCCATCCCCCACTTTTTTATTCTTGGATAGGAGAAGCTTATTTGCCAGGAAGTGGTGACAGTGCCAAGTGTCACTTTGACATGGAAAAGCTTTTTATTTTTAAGGGAGGTTTTCTCACATAATATAAAGATGGGGAGACTCTGGATTTGGCCTCATCTTCTCTGGAAACCTCATCTATAAACAAATCTCTTTGACTACCTCTCATGCTTTTAATCTTGGCCTTTCCAACCTGTATTGTCTCAGGAACACAACTACAATGGTTCATGCATCAAAATCTGGCCTTTGATGTAGCTAGAGCTTGATGTATTAATTGCTTTGAAGATTAGAAGATAGTCAAGCTTTTGATGCCAATATGAGGTCTGAGAGACTGGAGAAGCTTGAACACTGGTATGGTCCCAGAAGCCTCAGCCCAGAACTAAGCAGACAGTTGCCTCCTTTGCCAGCTGAAAGCAGTGCATCCTCTTCACATTTTGCTTCAGATAGTGAACAACAGGAATCTGGTCTGGAAGGGATAAATGTGAGGATTACTGCAGTCAGCTTTCTTTCCTATGAGTGAATGGGACAAAGTTTCCTAGCAACAAAAGCATTCTTAGAAACTGATACCACCTGGACAACCAGACTGAGTGAGGAATGAAAAACAGAGCAATTAGGCTTCACACCAGTGTGAGGAATGAACCTGGGAGCCTTTACAGTAAGATGGAGACATCTCTTCTAGGTCTTTCATTTTTTAATTCTTTCCAGCTAACACTACTTCAATTCCTGGCTTGATTCAAGTTGAATCTGCTGGTCTTTATCCAAGAGCCCATTTTCTTGTAAGCATTCTAACAGGTTACCATCGTTGCATCAACTGAGAATGAACTGTGTGTCACTGGCATACTTCTGGTAAATGAGACTTGTTATATAGGTATTGAGGAGGATGTAGCACCAATCCCCTTGCATTTCCGTATGCAAAGACATTCAGAGAAATCCCAGCAGTCTTTCCTGCCCAAGAGCAGGGGGGGGTTGGACCAGATGAACTGTAAGATCCCTTCCAGTCCCTAACAGCTATGAAACTATTAATCAGCACCGCTGAGTTTTATTGAAGAGGTACCATATGAACCATCTACTCCTTCAGTCTGAAACTAAGTGACCTGGGAGAAGCCATGCTGAAAAGGAGAGACCTGACTGAAGCTCAAGAAGAAATAGAGCCTCTCCGCTGAAAACATGCCATGCAGATCTTTTTAAACAAACAGTAATTAGGCAGTGGACCAGATTACCAAGTGATATAATTTCCTCATCCTCACTAAGATTTAAAATTTGAGATTGGTATTCTGCTAAGAGATACTCTCTGGTTCAACCACTAGCTACTCTGTTTAAGGCAAGAGTTATAGGATAATATTCTACCATGTTTGAGAGAAATGTTCACAGTGGTCACTGCTATCCCTATGCATACTCTGGGCACACAAGCTACAGAAAAAATGCATCCCTTTTCAAGCCAAGATGCAGTATCTCATTTGCCAGACTTTTTGGAAAGTAACAGATACAAAGAGGTTCAGATTTGTTGCAGAGCCTGTTATTGTCCCTTCACATTTTCTTTATCTTGGGGAGGAGGGGGATAACAAGATAACACAACATAAACACAAGGAACTGTGGATCATTTGGAACAAATTTTGGGGGGTTTATGCTCTGATCAGATGTTCCAGTGGTTTCTGATGCCAAATGATGACTGAAATGTGCTGTTGCCCCTGGAGGTATAACTTGTTTGTAGCAAACTAACTGCCTAAAAACTATTAGTTTTACTGAGACCACATTTTAAAGGAATTTCCAAGCCCCTTTTTCCTGACGTTTTATTGCACAATTAGTCAAAATCCATGCCAATTCTGAACTCATCCACTTTGTCAAGTGTCCAAGCCCTTTGCTCCAAATTCTAGAGGAGAACTATCTGAACCCATTTCCCCCCATTTTAGATGGGTACACAAAAACAACTCTTCCCTCTGGATAACCCATCCCTTAGCATTTTAGTATATCTGATCTAATACCTAGGACTTTTGTGTATTTAAGTATCCATTACACCTTTAACATGCACTCATAATTCAAAAGATGAACTATGTAGAAGACCTAAAACAAATGCCCTGTGGATAGTCCTCATAGAGCTGAATTAGTATTAACACATTTTCCTAAACAAAGTCAAGGATTAGTCTTAGGCACTTGCGATGAACTGTCCTTGCTTAAATTCTTGAATTGAACATGTTACCTATGTGCCTCACTTTTCACAGTACCAGCATTTAAAAGAATGGTGGGTTTTCCTCTCTCACACTTCATTATTGCCATTCACAGTGAGGAATAATCACCTCCACACTTAGGAATCAAGTTGTAACTCCATAATGATTCATGTTAGACATAGATTCATACTCAGGGATAGACAACCCCCAGCACAGGTGCCAGAGTGTGGTGCACGAAGGCATTTTGCTTGGCACGCATGCTTCTGGGCAAAGAGTGGGGGAAGGGGCCAGGTCTGCACTGCCACAACAAGGATTGGACCTCTGGTGGCTCTCATGCCATCTGCCCCTGGCACACCAACATCTTAGGAGTCAAGGTTACAGGTGTTTTGGGCACTTTGCCCAAAAACATTGCCTATCCTTGCTTTAGTTCATAGAGCTGGAAAGGGCCTTTTGTGGCCAAATGCTAACCCAAGGACCCCCCTAAATTGCAACCTCAAACCCTAACATTCACAATACCCAAAACATCCAGAACACCTATACAACATGCAATAAGTAGGCAAGGGAGATGAGGGCACTGGCAATGCTTTGCCACTGCAACAACAAGGAAGTAGTTGGCCAAAATAATCCCTTTCCATTAGCTTGATTTTCAAGCTACATCCCGATGAACACTAATACATTGGTCTTCAGTATGCACCAATGGTCTTAAGTCAGTCACTAGTTCCAATGAGGTGTCTTTCTTTTTTCAGCCAAGTCAGTCAGCTCATTCTAAACCAGTTATGAAAGTCTTGGACCACATGGAAACAACTTTCATTTTACAGCTAAGCCCTGCAGCGCCATGAGAACTAATATGTTTAGCTGCTAAAAAACATATTCATTTCCCAAACTGTGCCCATCCAACTATTCTATCTAACAGTGAATCTGGAAGCATTCCAGTACAGATGCATAAGTGGTCATTAGAATGAAAAACTGACTTTGCACTGAAAGTTTAAGTATATTTGAAACATCAGCATAATCAATTGTGCTCTTGAACAATCAATTCTCCTATGAAATCACCTCAATTTCTATTTACACTCCCATTTCTCACTGTATTTCCAGATTTTGACCTATATTTCCTATAACTGAGAACCCAGTGGCTGTCATTTGAGGACAATGTTCATTTGCTAGGTAAGTGCATCTTTCTACATATTGAGTCGGCCTCTATTAGCAGACACAGCAGTCAACTATTTCAGGACCTATTTTAACTCATGTTAGCCTTTAGGAATAGGTAGCTTATTCACGGTTTTTACACGGCTTATTGTGGGGCGGGGCGGGGGGGTGACATTTTATCAAACACATTGTCACAAATAGGCTTCTCTGGCTGCCTTACAGTAATAATGCTAAACTGGTTGCCTAATATAGTTGACACACAAAACAGAAATAAAAAGGACAACCAAATGTTTTGAGTTCTGCATCTCTCAAGAACAGCATTTTGAAACTCCCTACTAGGGATGTGAATGGTTAAACGTTTAACTGATCAGCTCAGTGATAACCGGTTCTAGCAGTTATCATTTAGCCTGGAGCCCAGCAGGTCAGGAGGGAAGTGGGGGGTGGGGAAAGAGAGGAAGGGGGAAGGAAGTCCTGTGGTGCCCTAGAAGGAATTGGAAGGCAGCAAAGCAGGAGGGAGAGAGGAGCAAGGAGGGGAGGAGGGAGAGGAGAGAGGATGAGAGGGGTGACTAAAACCTAATAGCTAGGCTCGGCAGAGGGAGGGAGGGAGAGAGAAGTGAGGGAGGGGAGGGGTTGCCTGCTCCCTCCCTTGCAGCATGCTAGTGGTGGTTGCAGGCTGGTAAAGTCCCTCTTTAGCTGCTGCCTGCCGATGCAACTGGCCCTGGGAAGCCTTGCGCCAGTGGCCGCAGCCCCTTGCTGGCTGCTGCCCCCCACAACTTCTTGGGCTGTGCTGCCTGCTTAGCAGGGATGCTATGGCACCTGGCTTCCCACACTGCTTGAGGAGGATGAGTGCAGTCCCCCTTCTCCTCGACTTAGAGCCACAGGCTAGAGCCCAGCATTGCCACTCCTGTCCCCATCCTTGCACCCCACCGATTAGTCATTTAACTCGTTGTAATTACAACAGGTTAAACAAATATTTATTTAAATCGGTATTTATGTTCCTACACTACTTTTTTAATCCACTGATGCACAACTTCAGCAGTGGCAGCAACAATGCCAGTGCTAACAGGGCCCATCTTAGCGTTTTTAACACTGCAGCTACCTGTGGAATGACTCTAAAGGGAATACAGCAGTAGAAGAATATAAGAAAATGCCTAAAGCCGTGTTTCTCAACCCATGGGTAACAAGAATGTGTGAAAGGATTGCACTTTAAAAATGGATCAACAAACTTTGAAAATGGATTCTTTTTTAAAGTAGAAAAAAGTGGGAAACCACGGCTTTTCCCTTGCAGGCTGGCAGAGTTTCAGCCTGCAAGGGGCTGCTGGGCTGCAAGGGGCTGCATACACCCTCTCCCTGCCCCACACACTGGGAGACTGGGGCTGTGGGGCAGCGGGTCAGGAGTGGGGGCACTGGGCCAAGACTGGCCATTGATGTTTACAAATTGGTCCTGGTACAAAAGAGTTTGACCTAAAGTACAAATAGATGCTTAAGGATGGTTTTAGATACTTAACTTGGGGCACTTAACTGCTTAATTTCCAACGTATACAAAGAAGATATAATCTATATCAGAGAGATTTGAGTTTCAATAACTGTTTCTAAGGTGCTTTGGGAACAGTCCACTATTGTGTAAGTGAAATTTAATAAATTAAAATATATTTTAATATTTTTGAGTTATACACAGTTATTAACTAGTATCCAACATTTATCTAACCAGTCTTCTTCTTCAGTTATATTAAAAACATCTTTACCAATAGCATTGTTTACAGACTCAAGAAGTATTAAAACACATCATTATGCAATTTCGGAGGAGATTTTATCTAAAATAATACCATGCTCCAAAAGCCAATGATAACAATTCTCTTTTTTTTAAATGTGATCATAATTATGACTTTTGATGGTCTTAGCCTCCATCTTTAACATTTTTATTAGCTCCAAATGAAATGATATTATGAAATAAACAGCTTCAGGAATGTTAATTTTGTTATGCATGTTCATGTTTGTGACCTCTCATAACCACTGTATTTCCGCAGATATTCATAGAAGGATAAGGAAAAAGTCACTGAGGTAAAGGGTTGTACGTAGTTCATCTTGAAACCTCAGTATTTCCATTGATTTCTCAGGAGACATTAGGACATTATACAAACTATTCATGGCCTCAACACACTACACAAACAAAGAGCATAGACTGAACTGCCAAAAGTAAAATGAAGCCCAGTTACTTGACTTTTTGTTTCTTCCTCGCTTGGAATTGTTCAGTTTTATTTTTGACAGACTTTATTAGCAACGATAAGGCAGGATCTATGGATTTCTTAGGGACACTTGCTTTCTTTCCTATGTCAGCTTCCTGTTTCTTCTCTGCCTCTGTAGCATCTTGCTGCTGCTGCTCTCTTCGGCGGGCTTTCTCCTCCAAGATTTTTTTCACTGCTTTTGTCTTTTTGAAGTTTGGATCAGAAGGATCCAAATTAAACAAGTGGGAAGTATACATGGCCTGGAACCTTGCATCAGCAACATTCACCTGAAGACAGAAGAGAACCAATTTCAGTTAGCCATTTTATGGATGAAAAAATTCCAGAAAGTACTATAAGAAAATACCGTTACATGAAGCTATATATTCATGCACGTGCAGAAAGCACTAACTACCTTTTGGTTGTATGCAAAAAGGTGATGCAAGAAGATGAGCTACATGCTGTTAGGACATTACACAAACCCTTTATGCCACAGGAGGTAGGCCAAAAAGTTCCTTTTGGTTATAAATAGAGCCAGCATGAAAAAAGCCGGTAGAGAAAATAGGCCTGAGTGAAGTGGCAGGTATTCACTTTGGATTCAGCCGACTCAGAGGACAGTGATTTGGTTCGGCGATTCGAATTACTGTCCCAATTAGATTTGGCCAAATCAGATCCTAAAGATTTGGCGTCACTTTGGAGATTCGGCCATAGAATAAACAGGCAGCTGACACAGCTGCCTCCAACTGACAAGTCTTGGGATTGGGGGAGGGAAGGGGCGTGGGGGCACATCACTCAAGGAAAGGGACAGGGGAGCACAGGATGCGGACGCGGTAGCTCTCGAAGTGGGAGCTATGCTCTGCTGCCGCTTGCCCAGCCAGTGCAGGGCAGAGGGGGCCGCAATGTGGGCATGACTCACTCTGAGCAGAAGGGGGCAAGCAGCAGCAGGGCATAGCCCCTGCTCCCAGCTACCACACCCACATCCCCTCCCCGCCATGCTAGCTGGCAAGTGGTGGTAGAACAGAGTCCCCACTCCCAGTGCTGATGCAGGCGCAGCAGTGCTGGAAGCATGGACTCTGTGCTGGCACCACTTGCCAGCAGGCGCAGCAGAGCACAGGGGCAGCGGGTGCAGCTGCGCTGGGAGAGGGGACTCTGCGCTGCCACTGCTTGCCAGTTGGCGCAGGGGGGTGGGCAATGCTGTCACTTGCCAGCCAGCACGGCGGGACACAGGTGCAGCAGCGCTAGGAGCAGGGGCTATACCCTGATGCCACTTGCCCTCTTCCACCCAGAGCAAACCATGCCGGCATCCTGCCCCCACCCCGCCGACTGGGAAAGCAGCAGCAGGGCATAGCCCCTGCTCGAAGTGCTGCCGTGCCCGTATCCTGTGCTTCCCGAGTCCCGCGGTACAAAGGCAACACACAGGAGGGCACACTGGGGTGGGGGAGGACGGGACATGTCCCCCAACAGCAAGCACTCTGGGTGCTCGGGGGGCATGGATAGCGCTTGTGTCCCCTCCTGAAATTGGCTCCACCGGCAGGATGCTGGGGCATGGTTGGCGCGTTCGGTACCCAGATGCTGGGGGACCCCCCATACCCTGGTTGTGCCCTGCTGGTACCCCCCCAAGACTTGGAAAGCACCAGTCACCCATGCCCGTGTCCCACGCCCCAGCTAGACAGCTTGTCCCAGCCCCAATCCTTACCTCCCCAGTGCCCCTTCCCTCCCCCAATCCCAACAGCCTTACCAGCTGGAGGCAGCTGTGTCAGCTGCCTGTTTAGTCTGTGGCTGAATCGACAAATCTTTTCCAAATCGATTTGGATGCTTTAAATCGATTCAGAGCTTTTAACTGGTCTCCCGATTTGATTTGGATTCAGAGATTCAGTCCCCGAATTGGGCTGAATCTCCTCCAAATCAAATCGGCTACTGAAGCTTCACACAACCCTAAGAGAAAGGCCAGGAAGAGGACAATGACAAATGCTGCAGCTAAGTTATAAGAAGGCTTGTGGAATGTACTCCATCTCCTTAGACATTTATATCATCTGGTTTCACTTCCCCTACGAGAGAAAGACTGCTTGTAATCTAAACCCATGTAAAAGTGCACCCAGCCTCTATGGTGAAAAGGAGACATATGTAGGTAATAAAACATTTGAAAGCAGCACACACCAATACAAGTTGTATTCTTATTTGATTCAACCTCTCTCTCTAAAGGAGCTCTGTAAAGAGGTTTAAGTTTAACTGTATTGTAAACATTTTGTTGATATGGTACTCAAAATCTGTGACTGAGGTCTAACTCTTTCATCAGACTACCAATCCACTCTTCTTAAAAAGAAACCAATACTTTTAAGCTTCTACTATATTTCAGAATTAGGAGGCTCTTGTTACCTCAAAGTCATCTTCTATCAACTCTTCCTTTTTCAGTAGCAGTTTCTTTTTCTTTTTAGTCAGGTTCTGTTGTTCTACAATTTTGTCATAATTGAAATGTTTTCTGTCATCATTTTCATCATCCATCATGAGCAGAGCCATTTCAGCCTGTTACAATAAAAGAAAGAAGAAGTTAAAAAAAATCAGTTTACACAATATCTCTCAATGGTATATGGGATACAGATGTTCCATCTGAAACACGAGAACTCAGGATTTCCAGTGCTCCAGGGGAAGATTTGTAATTTGTAAACAGATTGCAAGCAATTATAAAAACATAGAAACGTTAGTTTAATAGTGTAAAAATATCTTCTAAAACATTTGGAGAACTGGCGAGGAGGAAAGACTTGGTATTATTAAATGAGCATGTACATGCAGAGGCAGATGCAGGCTTTAGTCTCATTTTAACAACTTATATCTATCTAACTTCAGGTTAGCACAGGTTTGATAGGCAATCCTCTCCATTACTACTTACCATTTTAAGAATGTTACTTATTGCTTATAAACTCATAGCAGATTTATTATTTAAATAGAACAAGCTAAAGAGGCAATCCTTTAATTCAATATACTCACTGTTGCTCATTTTCATTGTATCACCTGAATATAAAAACACTATCCACAGCTGCTACAAGATTTATCCAATCTCAGCATTCACATATCGAAGATAAAAGACTGAAACCCTTGTCTATTTTATTAAATTAATTTTTATATCTTTATTTATGAAAACCCTTGGGTAAAAAATTAATTTGACCCATTAACCAACAAATGGAAAAAACAGTAATGAAGGGTAATACTGTGATTTCCATTCACGCCACTAAAAATTAAGGACAATATCAAACAGTTCTGAACAGCCAACCTTTTGGTATTCCTATAAATAGGAAACTACTGTTTTTTAAAAAAATATTAAGGTTATGTTTTAAGGGAAAAAATTCACTTGATGTGGAATTACTCAGCTGCTCTGAAAAGCATGTTATACAAAAAAATTATTTTCATGGATTTTTAACCAAAATGTGATACATGTGAAGGAGTCCATGACAAGTCTCCAGGTAAGCTACTCTATCTGGCAAAAACTACCGAGGGCAGGGATTGTACATTAAAAATGGAGGTTAAAAGGAATGTCCAAATTAAATATGTTCCCAAATTAAATAATAAAAGCAAGCTAAAATTTAACTCCTAGAAAATCTTAATTGTACTAGGACGAAGAAGATGGCCCGGGTTCTGTTTCTAGCTGTCCCTAATTCACTAAGGGTTCTTCCTCATGGACTCACTATGCTACATGCATTCTAGATGCAGTCTAGAAGGAAACTGGTAGTGTCATTAAAATAAATGAAAAACAATAGTAAATAAACACACACTTACGGTTTCATAGTTTGTAGGGTCGGAAGGGACCTTGACAGATCATCAAGTCCGACCCCCTGCCATGGCAGGAAAGAGCACTGGGGGTCAAACAACCCCAGCAAGGTGTTCATCCAGCCTCCTCTTAAAGACCCCCAGGGTAGGAGCCAGTACCACTTCTCTCGGAAGTTGGTTCCAGATCCTAGCCGCCCTGACTGAAGTAGCGCCTCCTGATGTCTAGTCTAAACCTACCCTCTGCCCAGTTGTGACTGTTATTTCTAGTCACTCCTGGCAGTGCTCGGGGGAACAGGGACTCCCCCAATGCCTGCTAGTCCCCCCTGAGCCTTCTCTTGTGGAGGCTGAACAGGTTCAGGTCCCTTAGCCTCTCCTCGTAAGGCCTGCCCTGCTGCCCCCTGATCATGCGGGTGGCCCTCCTCTGGAGTTGTCCACGTCCCTCCTGAAGTGCGGCACCCAGAACTGGACGCAGTACTCCAACTGCGGCCTGACCAGTGCTGCGTAGAGGGGGAGGATCACCTCCTTGGACCTGCTCGAGATGCATCTGTGGATTCATGACAAGGTGAGGTTGGCCTTCCTGACCACATCCCCACACTGTCGGCCCATGTTCATTTTGGCATCAATAATGACTCCAAGATCCTTTTCTGCCTCTGCACTGACAAGAAGGGAGTTC